CCTGCAAGGCATATTTGTTCAGAGGGCTGGGGATGGTTTAGGAAGTTATTGCCAGTCGTCAGATGTTTGTGCTTTCTGGGGGCGGAGGGAGGGACAACTGCTGCTATCACAACTTTGTTACACACTGTAAGGAAGGACATGAAGCAGCAAGTTTTTAAAGTAGTATTAATCTCTTCTGTGGTTTCAGAACGCCTCTGGGAGCCTCCCTGGATGAGCAAAGCAATCCTCTGTTGAAGGGTAAGGAAGGACTTTACCTACTGAAATCTCTTTTGCTGGGAACTGCTTTCGTGGATGTTCATCTCAGACCTCGGATCTTTAGCAGCAGCACAAGCCACATCCTAGTCAGTGTCGCTGAGTTATTCTCACTGTGAAACAATTGTGCCCAATAAACTGGATAATGGGGAAGATCCTAAGTTAGTATTTTTGGAAACTTTAGTAAGCGCTAAAAAACCCCTCAAAACGTGCAAAATGGAGAGGCTGTAATTTCCTCTTCAAGCTGGTGAGCATTAGGCAGTCTCTGCCTCTATAAGAGGCAGTCTCTGCCTCTAGTTGCCACACCTAGAAATTTTACTATCTGAGCAGGTCCGAATACTAAAGTTCAAAGTACAGCGAGAATATGCAGGTAGCAACAGGGTGCAGAGGAATTATTTGTTGTGCGTGGAGTCTTCGCTTCAACTTGTAATCTGGTACAGGGAGAGAGAGGGGAATGCCTAATTTGGACTCGGACTCTGGATCCCCCCGGTAAGATGTCTGGAGGACAGATAACGTGGTAGCAGCAGGCACAGGTGTGTTGTACCTCCAGGTTCCCACTTGCAATTGATTCACTTGCAGGTTGACTCAGGGATGTTTCTGAGGACAAAACTAAAGCAGTGTTGTAGTCATTCGCTTTCAAAATATTTTTTTCTGTGTTCTTAAATGTAACTTCTCACTTCTTAGTGCGTTTTTATTGTATGAGTAATGCAGGGATTGTAAAATAGTCTGACTATGTGCTGTTGTGTCAACTGAAGTGTCTTGCTACTGTCTTTAGTTAAGCTGTTGGGAAGAAAATACTGCAGCATTCTAGTTGTTGAATTGCTAACTGTACCTTTTCAGGCATGTTGGTGAGAAATGGAGGAAGTTTTGAAGATGACTTATCCCTGGGAGCCGAAGGTGGGTGTGGCAGGATTATGACTCTTCTTCTAGGAAAAAAAATTAAAAAATGTTCAGTCATCTGATTTTTATTGTGAAAGACAGTATTTCCCTTCTAGTCAAAGTCAGTTGATAAAGCTAGAAAACCAGCATGAAGCACATGGGGAAATGAAAGAAGATTTGCTTTTTGGGTTTATTAGACTATCGCTGGTCTTGAATATCCTGCTCTAACCCAAGGGTCAGAGACAGCCCTGAATTTGCTTCTGCCTTCTCGTTTTAATAACCATAGTGGCAGCACAGCCTGGAGCACTCACTGAGCCTGTGAGAAAGTGGTTTCCCCTGCTTGCTCTTCTTGTCCATGGGTTACTCTTGGCAGCCGTGCAGGTCCCGCTTCTGCTGAATCCCTTGGGAGTGGCTTGTGTGGGCTTTTGAAAGGAGGAATGAAATTCTGTCAGCCAAGAGGCAAACCCATTAAGGGCTAAGTGCTTTTAATAATGAAAACACCAAAGCTGAGTAAGTATTTTTGTTCAGCCATGATACACGCTTTGCTGTTGCTGCTAGCTGCTTGCCTTCTTTTTCTTCCCTTTTTAAAGAGTAAGGAGATGTGACTGTGGTGGACTTTACAGAAAAAGACTTAGCCTCTCTGTTGATCATGGGTTAGAGGTATCCATAAACAATGAAACAAACAAAAGCACTGTGGATCCTGTTCTATCAGCAGCATCTTGAAATATCAAAAAACAGTCTCTCAGAGAGATTATTTGCAGGATAGGGGGTATAAGACAATAACTGGTTTCAATATTAAAAAAAAGAAAAAGGCAAACCCACTCCCCTCCTTTAGCTTTTAATGGTTTTGGAGCTACAGCTTTTGCAAAGTGTCAGAACTTGTGTAGAAAAAAGCCCTTTTTTCCACAGCAGTCTTGCCAGTGGTGTCAAAGTAGTGAAACATGATCTGGAGGGAGGGAATATCTTTAATTTTTGAAGATTGAAGATTTCTAAGGAAAACAGTTGATCTGATAATGACATTGACCTGATAATGATGGAGAAGCAGTAAACGAGTCCTTTACTGCAGTAGATTAAATAGGATTATTCTTTTTCTAACAGTCTTTCCTACTTTTTAGATTGCCTGCAGTACGAAGTTTTCATAGGCAAAGTTTCTTTGTAATAGTAATTCAAGCTCTGAGCATGTGACTAAGAATACAGGAGTCAGTACATTTTAAAAAGTCACGTCACTTTTTTCTTTTCAACTTTTCCCCTTAACCTGAAATCCTTCAAAATGCTTTTATGAGCCTTTACCATGATTTAGGCAGAAGGTTGTTTCCCTTCTTTTTGGATGACAAAGGTCCCAGTGCTAGAATCGCTGGTTGGTTTTCCTGGCTAAGGGCATGGCTGTTTCTGCTGGTCTTTGCTTCCCGTCCGAGAACAAGGGGACAAGAGAGCTGGTTGGGGCAGTGCTGTGTGCGCTGCTGGACAGACGGATGGCCCCTCGGAGGCTGGTGTGAATGGCCTGGCCCTGTGCGGCTGTGGCTGCCTGAACCCAGACAGAAGCCAGAGCCCTGTGTGAATGGGACGTCGGGCAGGGTCCTGTAACCTCAGCTTCCTGCGGAGCCGTTAAACCCATGGTTTAGATGTTCAAACTAGTCACCATCTAGATAGGCTTATCTTCATGTTACAGGTGAGAATATTAAAAAAAAGAAAGAAAAAAAATGTGGCGTTTGTGTTTTGTATACATGTAAGTTTCCTCGTGACAGCTCTGAATAGAAGAGAGATGATGCAGTTTCCATGTTTTACTCTCAGTTGCTGACTATACCCCGCTGACACAGGGGCTGGAGATGCAGAGTTTAGCGCATTCGATGCTACTTTGCTCTTTTCGTAGCTGACTCCGAGGGCTGTGATAACATACGCATGTTCCTTACCTGTCTCCTGGGACAAATTTGTTAATGTTGAGCCGCCTCTATGGGTGACTCAGTTTAAGGCTAGAGCTCAACTCTCTGGCTTGACAGGGTGTTGATTTTCTGAAAGAATAATGCTGCCTGGGATGTTCTCGCATGGAGCTGGGCTGATCCAGCTGCAGAAAGTGCTGACTTCCCGCTCGGAGTCTGGTGGCCAGGTGCTTGGTACATGGTGACCAGCCTCCCTCCAGAGCCCTCTCAACTCCTGAGTGCAGCCACTGGTTCCACAGCACTGCAGTCTTCACCTGCCCGTTGTCTGCGGATTGCAGAGCTCAGGCAGCTGGGGCCCTGCCCAGCGCTTTGGCAGCGGTCCGTGCTGATGAAAAGACTAACAAATACAGTCTCAGTACTCGGCCATGGGGCCATCTGCCTTTTGTATGTCCTCTACTTTCTCTACCAGGGCAATCCTCCTGTGCCTGCTTTTCCTCTTCCCTTTCTCGCTTCATAACAGCCCTGCCGCTGGTAATCGCATCTTTAATTGCAAAGCAATAAATCGTTTATATAACAATTACTAGCTTGCAACACATTAAATTCCAAGTTAATGTGATTAATAACAGCATGTAAATGTGTGTCTGTGTGAGATATTATTTTAAACGGAGCCTGAATAAACCAGATAATCTTAGTATCAGCCGTATAGTAGAAATACTTGGCAATCACATTTATATGGGAAGAGAAAAAGCTGGCTCATGCGGGAGCATTGGTAAACGTGCTCACTGCCTGCTTCTTCCTACTGGTTGTGGGAAATGTGGTCATGAAGAGGTCTGTGTATAACTTCTTTTTGTTCCTCTACAGCTAATCATCTGCGCAGTGATACTCAAATGGAAACATGGTAAACTTATTTTGCTTTCTTCAGATAAATATTTATACTGGGGGGTGGGAGGGAGAAGGTGCAGTGGACCTTGTGGAGGCTACCTTAGACCTAAGGCTCTTCTGCTCTTGTCTATTTACATGAGAGGGAAGGAGAAGATCCAGATAACAGAAACTATCAGATGACAGAAACTCTCATTAGGAGAAAAAAAAAATCCAGATTTTTATTTTCAAAGTAGACCTCACATAGATTTTTAGCTCAGCAGGAGGAAAACAGAAAAATTACAAATCTGAGAAATTTGCATGATTCACCTTGTTTGCTTCACTGATCCCTCACTGTTTCAGAAATTTCAACGGAAGATTAGTTTTACCTTTCAGAGCAGATGTCCTTTGGGAGTTGGGAAAAAAGACTGAGAGAGGAGAGGCTTCTGCCTTACCGAGGGATTCTAAATAAAATGTATCCAAGTGAGCCTTCAGGAAGTACTGGCACAGACCTTGTGGGTTTGTCGCCCAGAGAGGTTGTCAGTAACAGTAGGTCTCAGCCCAAGGTACCCCCTAGTGCTGAGGCGGCTTCTACAGATGCCGGGAGGAAATAGTTTGAGATTCAGAAAGAAACTGGCCGGCAGTCTGTGTTGGAGCTCATTTGGCTCCGTTTCCTCCAGCCTGGATCCTCTTCAGCTTCCCTGACCACTTCTGGGGCAGCTCACAGCTTTGTGCTGCTGGTGGGTGGCGGCTGGGGCTGAGAGGGAGCTGGGTACCTGCGGCGTGGAGAGGTGATCCTGCTGGAGGAGGCAGTGGCACAGGAAAGGCAGGGCAGGCTGGCTTGCCCAAGGCAGGGTTTCCTTGCTGGAGGAGGGTGGGATCGACGAGGGTGGGGCAGCGAGGGGAGGTCAAGGATTTGTTTTCTCAGCTTGCATTTGCCTTCAGATTCTTACCGTCTATGTACATTTTTACTGAGGCATCCCAGGGTTTGCTTTTGTTACTGTATTTCAGTAAATGACATGGCTAATATAAACCAGATAACACTGAAGGGGAAAAAAGAAATTCAGCAGCGCTGGAGGCTTAGCTCTCCTCCGAGACGGAGAATTGAGTCCCCGAATGAGAGGGGTTTATCGCAGGGGTCTTCTCTGTTTGTGTTGGCAGCAATGGTGTGCTGGCGAAGGAGAGGAGGCTACAGTTCCACCAGAAAGGGAGAAGTATGAACTCCACCGGGTCTGGAAAAAGCAGTGCGACTGTTTCAAGGTAAAAGAGTACTATGCTTTGAAGGTCATGGCACAGTTCAGTGGAAATTGGCTGCGTGTTGTTGGCAAAACGTATTTCTTCTGTTCCTCAGTTAAATGGACTTGGCTTGATTTTTGTGCATTGTTGCACTTAGTAGCCGAGAAGGGAATTTTCATTTGGTTGCTTGAAAAACTGCTATTTGCTTTCAGTTGTGGTTTGCAGTAAATACTAACAAATGGGTCTAAATGTCAGAAGCATCTGAAGTCTTAATTGCTTTTTAAAATCAGAGCTCTGCAGAGTAAGGGCTGACTATAAATGACAGGATTGGATCTGAGATGTAGCTGGGCTGGTGGCTTTGATAACTGGAAGCAAAACTTCAGATGCAAAGATCTCCACAATTATTTCCTCAAGTAGACTGAACTGTAGGACTTAAAAGTTCAATAGACCAAGCTGACTACGGGGCTGAATTAGCAGTTGGACAGAAAGAACTGTGTCCAAAAAGGAGACAAGTAGATAGTAAGCATCTTTTCATTTGTCTAGTGTTTCTGAATTACTGGAGCTTTATGAGGAAGATCCTGAAGAAGTGCTCTATAACCTTGGCTTTGGAAGAGATGAACCAGATATTGCTTCAAAAATTCCAGCAAGATTTTTTAATTCGTCATCATTTGCCAGAGGGATAGATATCAAAGTGTTCTTGAATGCCCAAATACAGCGCATGGAAGTGGAAAATCCGAATTTTGCTTTAACCAGTAAGTATGCTTTTGAAGCAAAGTTTATTTCTAAGTTTTTGAACTATGTAAGCAACCCCAAAAGAGGGTGCACGTGTAATATTCTGGCAAACCTCCTTTAGAGCCTCTAGGCCAAATTCCATTCAGAATCCATAATGAAAATCTTACTTGGTCTTAAATATGGCAAGAGGTGACCATCAGTGTTGTACACTTTGGGGTGAGGGCAGGGGATTTATGGTGGGAAGGGAAATGAAACGCATCCTGTAAGATATACTGCCTCCTGGTTTGTGTCGTTCTGTCTCTTGCTCTGAAGTTTGTCTTCTGTTGTAGCTTTAGAGCACTGAAACAAATGGGAATATCTGTCTGTTTCTTGTGTTCTTCAGTGTATGGGTGGGATTTTTTGAAAGCTGTCAGCAGCGACCTACTTCTGTCATTGTTGAAATCTGGGCCAGTATTTCTGTTGACTTGGACAGGAGCTTTGTTAGGTCAGTAATGAGCGTTGCTGAAATGAAGGCATAGCTGAAATGTCCTCTTGTACTTGTAGATGGAGAGAGATATGTGAGTAACCCTTTTCTTTCTGGCACTTTGTAAATTAACTTGCACTTGTGTACCATGTCCAGCTTTCCATACTCTTCTTTAGTAAAGACTCTTCCACAGATTTTTCCATTTTTTCATACTGTATGGTACCACTTTCACATGACAGGACTAGGCAGTGTTCAGTCAACCTTTGGGCCCTTGGTATAAGTAGGAGGAGATTTGGGGGGAGGTGTGTTGGTGGGCAGATTGAAGATGGTGAAGATTCCCTCTTCAGATATGAGGAATGAGCTGCTACAGAGATGGGACAGCAGGTCTGGGATGTGATGACAGCAAACATCCTTGTAAACTGTGCCCTATGTTTCATTCTTGTGCAGGTCGCTTTCGTCAGATTGAGGTGCTTACCACTGTGGCCAATGCTTTTTCTTCTTTGTATTCTCAAGTCTCTGGGACTCCTTTGCAGAAAATTGGTAGTATGAATTCAGTGTCTTCCAGCAAAGAGGCATCCAGCCCTCCCCCTTTAAATCGCAGCAATACGGCCAGTCGGTTAATGAAGACCTTGTCAAAGCTCAATCTGTGTGGCACGCAGCAAGCTGACGGTAGTGGCTGCTCGACTCCTTCACCTGTTGAAAAAGGGAAAAGTCCAGCTGAACTAGAGAGTGAGGAAAACGATGTTAAAAACGAATCTAAAAAGTACCCTAAAAAGAAAGACTCTTCCTCTTTTTTGGCTACTGTAAAGGAGGAGATAGCCAGTAGTCAAACAAATGCTGCAGACACACGTAGAGCTGCAAACCTTCCTGCTGTGGCTGATGATAAGCGAGAGGGTTCTGTACCTCCTGCAGATGTGCAGAGCAGCAGGTCAGAAAGCACCCAGGATAGACTGTGTGAAGAACCCGATCTTCTGGACTCACCAAGCCTCAGCAGCAGTTCCAGTACATCCAACAGCAGCGCCTCGACACAAAGGCCACTTGCAGCATCGCTGGGTAGAGACCCCTGTGCTCCCCTCGCAAACCCGTCCATAATGAATCTAATGCTGCAGCAGAAAGACTCCTTTGAGATGGAAGAGGTAGGTGGAGATATATGGCTTTGGTTTTGCATACAGTTTACATAACTTGCTGGCTGCCAGCAGTGGAATGTTCCATCCTGTGTAGCTGACGGTGTTTTCTCCAGAAATACTTTAAATTCCCTGAGTGATAGGACAGTTGTCGCTCACTCTCAGTAGGCTGCTCTAATTGATCTCCCTACTGAAATAACTTGGTGCTGCTGCTGCTGTTGTTCCTGAGAGCCAGCAGGAAAGTTCTCATTCTTCTTTTCATCGAGCTCAGGTAATTGCGATCACTGGCATAACTGCTAGGAACTTTTCCTGTGGAAGCAGATCTAGGTTAGGCTTTGTATATACAAAAGCCTTTGGTTTTACATTTTTGCTTTCCTTATATTGCTAACTGGAAGTTGTCATTTTTGTTGCCTAAAAGTAGATTCGGCTTATTAATTGCTATTGATTAAGGATAAATTTGTGGATGGAAGGGAACCTATTGTTGCATGAAAGAGAAAGGGGCTATCATGTAGGGCAAGGTGCTCATCTTGTGCAACTTCTCGTTTCGATGACAATCTGCTCTTACGTTGATTTGTTTTTCTCTGGAAATTAGCACACCAAAAGTTGCTCTGTGATATGCCTCTGGCAATGGCTTAGCTACAAATTCTGTGCTAGCTGCCTTTTAATATCTTCATAAAAGCATGTATCCATTTTTTGGTTGGTAATTGTCCTAAAGGGACTTTTAATTCCCAGGTTCCTGTAAGTCCTTTGTTTATTAGTTTAGTAAACATGCAGTCTACCAATTCAAGAATGAGGGGTTTTTTTTTGCTTAGACTCACACCTTGAATTGTATGATCTGTCTTGAATTAGTATATGTTTTTTGTGGACATGTTTTGAAGTGGCTCTTGTTAGCGCTGCTGTTAACCTTTTTGTCTGTGTAAAATAGGTGTGTAAAATGAAGGTTTGTGATTTCATTGGTGAAAGGAGTGAAGAAAGCGAGTGAATAGAAAACCCTCAGAGTTTTACAGTGAATTATGAAGCAGTAATTTATAGATAGGATTTAGTGCTGTATTGTCATTACAAGCTCTTCTAGATCAACTAATGTAGCTGAAGGCACTCATTAAGTAGAAAAAGGTAATCCAGCCTCTAGTAGTTCCTGCCACTTGTTTGTGCCTCACCCACATGTTGTGGGGCCACCTCCAGAGCAAAGAACTGGTCCAGCTGAGAGAGAAAAAAGGAACCCAGTGTATTTTCATTTAATTTTTTTTTCTGGCTTAGTTTTCAGCTGGATAAGTTACTTGATCCAGTTTGTTGTGTAGCTGCACATATGTTTGCATTGGCACAGTGGAAGGTGTCCGAATGGCAATACATTTTGCTACATGTTTGATACTCCTGGGCAAAGCTGAAACAACTAGTATATATATATAAGGAATGGAATTTCCTTCAGAATAAGTTGGACTGTAAATGGTTATGACATGAATAAGACTTGCCAAATTTTGCACAAGCCAAACGTGATGTGTTGGTTAAGTTTTGGTTGACACACTCTGCAGTGATGCCAGGGCACAAACACAGCTGTTTTGGCAAGATGACATGCAATGTGGGATGGGATTGTGATGAATTTTTGTTTACGTAATATAGTATATACATATCAAGTGCCTACAGATTGCTAGGAGGGAAGAATTTGGTTTTGTTGAAGAAACTTTAGAACAATACCTGGCAGTGTGATTGTATTTTCTTGCGTCTCTAAGCAGGGTATAATGAACAATAAACTGTGTTAGAAACAGTGACAAAAACTCCTCCCCCCGTTTTCCCAGCTCGACTCGGAGCGCATTCATACGCATGAGAAAGATGACAGATATATCAAGGAAGCTCTTTCCATGCTTAGGAATGCCTTAGAGGTTTGAGCGCCCTTCGGAAGTCTGTGGCTGTGAAGATAGCTGGTGCGGGAGTGAGTCAGGGCAGGATTTCCCCCAAACCACCCACTCCTGAGCTGGCCGGTTTCTGTTCCGAAAGTCAGTTACCAGCACCAATATTGGCCGAAGGGCCGGGGAAGGAGAGAGGAGTGCTGCTGCGCACTCGTGGAGCTGCGCCATGCCGCCGACGTGACCAGGATGCTGTCTCCCAGCCAGAGACAGGAGGTGGAGGGTATTTAGATGAGAAGAGGCTTAGCTGTTGGGAGGCTGCAAATGTAGCTGTTGGAAACTGAGAGGTTGGAGAGAATCAAGACACCTTTTCTGGAAGGCGAGTCCAATCATATGGCCTGTAAGATTACTTGCTCTTCCTTTATTTTTAAAAATCTTCTAATAGTTTTTCTGAACGGAAATGGTGAGCCCCTTCTAAGCATCCCTGCATTTGGACAAAATAAGGATTTACCCCTTTGGTGTACAGCCTTGGTCTCCTAAAGGAGCAGACGCCTCTTGATTTATTGTGCAAGAATGATGCTCTTCACTTATTAATGGTGAAAAGCACAGGCCAAGTAATTCTCAAAACCCTTGTAACTGAGAAAATGCATCCTTCTGGCTGCTATACACGTGATATCAATACAAATACAGCTGCTTCTTTAGCCAAATATTAATTTGGGCTTAAAACCATCAGTATGCTGATTTTGCATTTTTAAGTTGCTCAGAAATGGAGGTTAAAGTTACATTGCTTGGTAATTTTGAAATTAGACAGGCAGCCCATTAGAAAGAAGGATTGGGAGTAGTTGAATTGGGAGTTTTGTGCATGTAGACTTGCATGTGAACCATTAGGATTTTTTATGGAGCACACTCACACAGAAACATCTTCTAGATTTCAAATTAAACAAAGGCCTCCCTGTTGAGATTTTTAGACATATTCATTTCGTTGTTTGAACAGTTATTTGAGAACTGCTTTCTTAATATGTCTGTGCTTCATAAAATTATTAAGTAATAGGATTAATTTTCATGTAGTTTTTAAGTTTCCCGGTTGAAATCTGCCTGGCTCTGAATACATTATTTACTCTTTTTTGTAGTAGAAGACACAAGAAGTGTTTCTATGAGTAGTGGCATGGTGAGGTCGGTAGTAGATTCTAGCAGGGCCTGGGTCCTTCTGGAGGATTGATGGCTTCTGGGAAATAATTGGTAGGGCAGCAGATGATAATTGTTAAATGTATTTTGCTTGTTCAAACTCAAATGAGGGGCTAAGAGTGCCGAACTGTGAGAAAAGAGGTTGTCTTGAGTGATGAACGTTACCAGAGAGGAGCCCTGCACTGTGAGTTGGAGGTACTGTCCTAAGGGTCACTGTTCTCCTACAGGAGCATTGCTGAGTACCTGATGATATCATATATTGGTTCAAAGAGATTCAATTTGTTCCCTCAAGCATTTATAGGCTACTGGACTGGAATAAAAAAACTCAGAACACATACTCCCACCCCCTCCTCTGCATACACATTGTGTATAGCTTGGGCATTCTTAAGCCCAGAAGAATAATGCAGTTGGCCTGACAAAATATTCATCTCCTCTTCTCGACAGATCCAGAGTACAGAGGGGGATCTACCACACATTCCAGCTTCTCACCAGCTGGCGGTGACGAAGTCAAGGAAAGGTAAGTAGACTTTGAGTCTCAGGAGACAGCAGTCTGCTGAGTGTTCTTCCCTCTCTGAAATGCTAATTCAGATAATTAAACCTTCTAAAGTTTCTCTTCTCTTTGGAAATAAAAAAGATATGAGTTTCATTTTCAACTAAATCACAGAACATTACTGAAAAGTGGCAACGAAATTACAAGCAGGACAGCAGCCCTATAACCTCACAGGCTGTTTTCACTTTTGTTCAATTGATGATAGCTCAGAAGGACTGAAATGTTAATTCAGATTGTGTGGGATTTTCTTTTCCCTGGCAGATCCTGTAATTTAAGATACCCATTTAAACTAAAATTATATTGTTTGAAACCTAAATTGCATGATACATCCAGGTTTTTTCCTGTGTGCTACTGCTCCATCTGCAAGCTGAGTGCACAGAAGACTAATGTCTCTGTACCCACAGGGAAATTGTAGCCCTTCACATGGGGAAAGTGTGCCCTGACTCGTGACTCATTCAGTTTGTTTTCATCTCAAATTCTTATTTACATATTTTATGTCTTGAGAGAGGGACAAAGCTGATATTTTAAGTTAATTTTGTGATTGTTATTTTGCCCAATGTTGGCAAGTGAAGTTCGTTCTGTGGCTATTTCATGTAATGAAAGAAAAAACAGCTTGTTGCATTTAGTGAGATGCTTAGCTGTGATGCAGTTTGTTTGTGAAACATGACTAGAATCTCTAGATACTCAAGAGAGGCAGAAAAACTTGTCTTAAGAAACAGAGATCATCTTATTTGCCTTTTCACAAGTAAACTGACAATCTTGTGAACTGTCAGCTGAATTGCATTAATGTGGTTGAGAATGCTCTGGACTAGGTGTTAAAGGCTAATGCCTGGTTATTAAGGGTAGGTTGTGCTACTACTTGAGCAGTGTTTTGTACAACACGGCATCGCACTTACTAGTCCTCCTTTGTTACAAACACAGGCCACTAAGAAGGACCGCCAGAAACTGCATCTCAGGCTGTTCCTAGCATTTCGCCTTTGGCTGTATTTTAAAGTTCATGATTACATGCTTTATGTGATTATGTGTAAAGAGATGCATTCTTTACAGGTCAGGTCTCATTAGCAGTTTCAGAAAGAGCTGTTTGGAGAAAGGCAACTTCAGGAACCAGGAACTACAGTTAAGGAAGAGAAATTTTTTTTTCATCTTTTGGAATGCTAGTTCTGTGGGTTTTATTCCCAGTAGCTACCTACACTCTTCTTCCTCCCTGCAAGGAAAAAAAACCACAACAATGTCAGGTAGTCCTGTGTGTACCTGCTGAAAGAGCCCAGCAATTTTAGCAATAAGTCTTCAGTATGGCAGAAGTGGGGCATGCTGGCTCATGTTCCCCAGCTAGTATATCCTACCCGTTACTGAATATGCTTGGCATAGATTAGTGGTGACACTGTTATCATGCAAGTATTGCCTAGAGTTTTCTATGACTTACCTTACAAGGATGTCATTCTGATGGGTAAGCCTGCACACTTGCTAAAAGTTAGTCTGAGACCAATTTTTAATTTCACCTGGAAGATGTGGAAAGCCCAGGACTTTGTTGTATATGGGTTTCAGTAAAATCACCAAGATGGAGAGAGTTTGGTGGAGAACTTATCCAAAACATTAAAAAACACTAGTCAATTTTTGGTTTTGCAAGTTGTCCAACTTGATACAACACAGAGGCCTGTTGTCTCAGAAGGTGAGTGCTCACCAAATTTGAAGGCATCCAGAGTTAATTGTCACTTATTAAAAATGCTGGCGATTGTGTCTGAATGTGAAATACCATTTTGACTAGCAATCTCTTGAGGTGGGATCAGCATAAAATTCAAACACTGGTTTTCTGTCACAATGTGGTTTCAGTTCACGATCCTCATAAAAATCCACCTCTTTCGGTGGTGTTGGCTGTACTGTGCATAAGCACCCATAAACAAAAAATTTGTTTTCTACTTTTTTTTTTCCATGTAGGGCTACTTGTGTGTCAGCAGGGTTAGTGTTGTTTGTTAGAGACTGCTTGTAAACCTTGCAGTGTCATTTCACATCTTCACAGAGGGCTGTAGAGGATTTCTCTGACATTTACAACTGTTGTAAGGCATTTTAAGGGGGCCTGTAATAAGATGTCAAGTATTTGAATTAAAAAAAAAACAAAAATATTCTCTTTCCTACTGGAATAGTCTAGAGACTTAAAATATGCTTGAACAACACTGAGTCTACTGCTGCATAGAGTCTCCATTAAAGCATGTTTCTCATTTAAGATTAGCTTTGTTTGTTAGTGGTAAGCTTAGATTTTCCACATAGCTTGCAAACACTGTCTTTATTAAACCCTTTCCAGAGGATACTAAGAATTCTCTATCATATTGACTAGCTTGATGTACTTCTTAGGTTATATCTTCCAAAGAGTACTGAACTGAACTAGTTTATCCATTACGCCAAAAAACAGCATTCTGTTCTTTTTTGTTGCAAACCTCAAATGTAGGTGTATTCTTTTGCGTGTTTTGCGATTCTTTTTGGGAATGCAGTAAAGAGGAATAAAAAGCTGCAGTTGCTTTGCACTGTAAGCATACAATGCTGCTACATGTCCACTATAAAAAAAAAATTATTGCAAAGTTATCTGGAAGGAAGATTTGTTAGTTGGAAAACAAAATACTTCCTGACGTATTTATAAAGCAGCACCTTCCATTCCAAAAATGCCCAATGAACAAGACAAATATAGACAACGCATAGAGAACAAAGTATTCTTGAGGCACTGTAATTTGTGTCTGGTTGTTGACATCAGTAGCTCTGAAACTGTGAAGAGCCACAAACCTGTTTCTTTTAAGGCATCTGACATTGACAGTCAAAAGATTAACTCTGAATTTTAGTTCTTTAATGTGGAGAAAGCACATCATCAGCACTTCCTGTCCTTAATATATTATTTTATTTATAGTTCTCTGTGGGGGTAGATCCACAGGATACTGGAGATGGGGGATTGAGAAGAAAACATTTGAAACAGATTTAGTATTTGTGGGAGTCTGTGCTTATCTATGCAGAACCTGGGAAATCCCCAGTGACTCTGAAGATTTTCTGCAGCAAGGCTTCCTACTGTGCTGGTTTTGGCAGTGCTGGGGTGCAGGGTGGGAAAATGAGGTAGCAGATACTAAATCCTATGGTGGAGTACTTTAAATTGGCAATGTCAGTTTGTTAATAATCTTATGAAACACAAAGCACATTGGAGCTTTGCCAATATTGCAGGTACAAGAAACATAGATGTTACTAAAGCTTCCTGGGCAGTTTCCACATTATTTCTGGGCCTCTCCTGTGTGAGCAGTCAAGTGACACAGAAAGTATAAGACAAGTACCTGATGAGACTGTTTGGATTGGTGAGACTGGAAGGCCACTGGTAGCTGAATATTGTTTTACAATAGATGAATTGTTCTCTGATAAATCTGTGCTCTCATGTTTCGTAAACTGTAGACTTGTTTCTTTGTCATCTCTTTTTGTTTAGAAATTTGTCAGCTTATTTGCTATATTTCTGAATACCCACATTTCTCTGGCATATATTCAGTGCCTAAATATATTTTGATTTTATTATTTTTTTTTTACACAGCTTAAAACAATAATCCAAGCGGCATTTTCATTTGTGCTCTGTTTAACTGGGACGTGAGTTTGATTGTTCCTTCTCGTTTTGTTCATCTTGGCTAGGTCCTTTTCCCACACTTTTCTTATTATGCTGCCTCTGGCTTTTTCCCGCTAGTTCAGAAGATTTCCTCTGTGTAATGTTGATCATAGCTTTGAGCTGCAGGGTTGGCATTGTGACCTTTTTGTGGAAGGTGCAGTTGCCTTAGTAGGGGTATGCAAGGCAAGAGATGATCTCAGATTAGCCCCTAGAGCCCAGCCTTTGCTGCTGCATTTTATGCATTCAGGGTGAAGAGAGGGGAGACATGTTTCACCACAAGGCCGGGCCTGAAGGTAGGCCAGGCCTAAAGTTAAGCCCAACCTAAAGCCATGGCCTCTCCGTTGCCAGGAGGCATTTTAGTCAAGATCTGAATGACTCTTTAGCTTTTTAAAAATATGTTTTCATGCTTTCCCCTTGTGAGCTTGAATCTGAGAGGTATACTGGTGCTGTAGAGCAGTTGTACATCTGGATCAGTTATTGGCAAGGAGGGTGGATACCTTTATGTATCAGTATATTGCAGTGTACCTGTTGGTATTTCCAGTATTTACAGAGGCAAACCTTGCCATTTCACTACTATAGTAGTAGAGATTTCTGTTGAAGAGGTTTTGTTGCATTTACCTGATAGTTGTGTAGTGGAGAACTCTTGAGAACTTGCAAGAGACAAGGGTAAGGTGTGGCAGAAGACTTCTCATACTCAAAAAACAGTCTGCTCTGATTTGCTTTAAAATCTTCAAAAAAAAAAGAATCCTAGCAGCTCTGCAACACAGAAAACCAGGGATGGTTGTATTAAGGGGATATCTCCTTAGGCAGAACCAAGGCGATTTGAATTTGTTCATGCTGTGCCAGTCTCTTGCCATGGATAAAGATGGTGTGAGTGCCTCTGCTCTAGACTGACCACTCAGCTGGCAGTAGCTGTTGTGTAAGGAAGGCTGTCAAGGCATGTGTGTAAATAACAAATGCTATAGAAAATTATCTAAACCACTGATTTTTACTTTAGTACTGTGTCATCAAGGAGACCGAGAATTGATTTGAGGAAACATACATATATATATGCCTACATACACATATATATGTTTATATATGTGTGTGTTTTGAGTGTTTTTAATAGCTGAAAATGAAATATTGACTGAGAAGAAAGGAGAAGGGCATGTCAATATTTTTCTTGAGCGGTAATAAACTTAATGTGCATGAAACCAGATGCCAGCACACTCTGGTGGATTGCTTTATCTCATCTGGTTGGAATCTCTCCCCTGTGGCTAAGGCTTTCACCAGTAGTGTTTTTTCCTTTTAAATTAAAAATCACCAAATAGGAAAGAGACAGAGATGAGGCCAAAGTCGGCAACTATTCTCCTTGAAGGAGGTGGCAGCCTCTCACCAGCTTCAGCTGTAGTGGCAGTTTGCTTGTGGCATGCTCGTTCAGTCTCATTAATTGTGTCGGGCATTTAATAAGAGCTGGTCCAGTTCTCAGGGAAGTAATTTCCATTGTCTTTAGAGGGAGCTGGGTGGGGATGTCTGTCTTAAGGTAGAAAAGTTGCTTATCATCACAGGATATTGTGGCTGCCATGATAACAGAACAGCAGCACAATTTGAAAGGCACTCCCTAAAAGCTGTGTGAAATCTCTGATACAGGGGTTTAACGGGCAGTTTGCCTCTCCTGGTGTTCATAAACTTCTGGGCCAGTGCAGGCTTTTTCTTTCTGCATTAGTGAAATGTTCATCAAAATTAATGTTAAAAACAATTAGTTCTGAATATCCAAGTTTCAAAGTGGTTTTCATAATGCATTCCAATGCATTGAGCTGCAAACTAGGATTAATTATATGATGACAGTTAAATGATTGGAAGAATGTGGGGCAAAATTCTGCACTGAGCGTCCAAGAAGACAGCAGTAAGCTGTTGTCCCAGAGTAAGGAGGAGGTGGTGGCAGGGGCCTGGGGGCTACAGGCTGCTGTGGTCTCATCCCATCTCCAAGCTTTTGCACTTCTGCTGAGAGCTAGAGGTGAGATATGATTGTTGCCCATGGTGCCATCTGGCTAAGCAAAATGTTTATGATGCTATAAAGTAAACCCTGCAACTAGGGAGCACCTCCTGTGTCCAGTTGGGAGCAGGGTACATGCATCACTGCCTACCAGGACTACTGAGGTCTCCTTGAAAAGCAGCTTTGTGGCTATAGTGCTTGCACCAGAGGAACTGCTTCTGGGTAGCACTGAGGATTTCAGAGTCTCTTTAGGCTATTTTAACACTTACCTAATGTAAGCAGAAAGGAACAAGCAGGAGAATCTTATCTTTAATGTATAAAATGAGCCCAGGGAATGTGCTTTGGCAGATTGCCTGTTGATGTGTCAGAGATGTTTTGTATTTGTCTGCTAAACCAATGAGGGACTGTGTCTACCAGTTCTCCCAAGCCCTCTGCATCCCCCTTTCTGCTCATGTGATACTATGGGGCGGTGAAGGCTGGCAGGAGACAAGTGATCTCCTGTATCTCCATGATCAGGAGGGGTGGGAAATCTGTACGTGTCAATACAAAAGCAACTCTTCCACTGCTTGCATGTGAATTAACCAGTGGTTCAGTTTTGTGGAAGGAGAACTCCAGCAGTGGCAACATCTGCAGAGTGGGTTGGTTTTTTTTCCACAGAACAGGAAAGAAAAATGTAAAAGATGGTTCCTCTTCCAAGGCTGCTTGAAGTTTCACAAGTATGAAAAGAAATTTTGCTTGAAACAAACAAGTTGTTTGTCTGTATTGTTCAAAGTGAAACTTGAAAAGAAATTGTGTTATCCACTTGACGTTACTTTGATGTAAAAGGAAAGCGTGTATTGAATGTGATTGAGCTTGAAAGTTGTGATTTGTAAAACAATTACGGTTGAACTTTGCTTGTTTTGAGCAGATCAGCTGTTACGGACTGCGAGTCAGCACTCTGACAGCAGCGGCTTCGCTGAGGACTCCTCCACAGATTGTTCTCCATTTAACCAACTTCAGGTAAGATTCTCATACTCTTCTGGAAATATTGCCAATTTTTGTGGGACAGTAAGGACCTGGGGATTGCAGGAGGGATGTTTGATGGCTATTGTGGCTGTCAGTCTAGATCCTGTAAAACTTCTCATTTTCAGGGCAGGACCTGCTTAGTTTCTTACAGAACGGTGTAAAAATTTGAAAGCCTTTCTTGTAGGATAATGTGGATGTACTTGGCCTGGAATAAACTCTTTTAAGTTCAATATGTCCTGTTTGCTGTTTCTAATGTATCATTTCTCACCGATTGAGGCCTTGGGATTGTAATCCATTCCTTTTGTGACTGCAGGGGGTAGAGATTAAGGTTATGAAAGATGCAATTTTTCTGCTGATCATTTTGTTTCTTCTGAGATTTTTGCCTTCACACTCTTCTTCTTTTCTTTCATATTTTTCTCTTTTATTTTAGTTAGCAGTTGACAGAAAGTGAAAACTTTACTGTGAGGGTATACTAATGTTTAATCGGTCTTGAGCTCCCACATTCTTTGTTGTTCCAATTCCTTTGATCTTAGTCCCAGAACTTGCCATGATACTGACCAGAGACCATGTCTTACAAGAGGCTTTTGTTCCAACTCGGTATTTAGTTGTCTGCCCAATACATACATTTGCACAGCGTTATACCTGATGCTTATAAGAGGTGTTCTCTTGCCTCTCCCAAAACGTTCACACGGTAATAGCAGTTGGCCTGTCAGGCAGCCAGAGAAAAGTCTTGAGTTGGATCCTGGCCTCAAGGCCATCAGTTAGCTGTCTGGGACCTAAACTACAGTTTGAAGGAATACAAAGATAGGATTCTGGATGTCACCAGTAATGTAATTTCTGTGCCTTTCATCTGCTAAACTTTTTTATGCTACTTTGTTTTGTGTTTTGTTTTTTTTTCCCCCTTGTGGCACACAAAGCCACAAGCTGTTTGGCACTTATTAGGAAGAAATTCCTACCCTCCGTCCCTCCTTCCTTCCATCAGCGTTGCTGTTCCCTTTTGCTACTAGTATTCTGTGCTTTCCAGTTCAGTAATTTTTCAGGAAAGCCAAGACAGTGCCTAGTCTTTTTGTGTCCCTTAAACATCAGCTTATGCTTAGCAAGAGAGTGAATAAAGGAGGTGATGAGCCTGAGTCTCTGTAATGAGCATAATAGTCTGCTCTCTGCTAAATTTGGACTGCACTGAAGTTGACAGACACTTTAGAAGGTGACTCAGAGGAGAGCTGCTCGCTCCTGATCTTTATGTTGGTTGCAACCTGATTTAGAGTCTGTTAAAAGCATGTTGCAACTAGGTGCCCCTTCAGTGGAAGATTGGTGGAGTTTATTTTTGTTGGCTGTGAAGGGGTAAGATTCTTCTGTTTTCTGTTATGCTGTTTTGAAAAGATGTATTGATACTGCACAGGGTTTGTGCCATGAAGTTGCTAGGCTCTTTTCTGCCACTTTCACTGCTTTATTCAGACCAAGTGCTGAGCTGAATTCAGAAAATACGGATGAATGATGAGACTAGGGGAAATGAGGACTTGGCAGCTAATGAGGAGAACCTGTGAAAAGATGAAGGGGATACAAAGGGGTGTATATTGTTTCTTACGGTAAGTTGGTGCCATCTACTGTTAAATAAATAATTGGCTCTAACAGCCATAGCACTCCTCTGAAACTCAGAAAACTGAAAATCTGGAACTGTATTGCCTGACACCCCTGACATCCACCAAATAAAGATTTCCAAGGGAGATTTGGGCATTGAGATGGGATATTCTGCAGAGGGGGTTTCATATTACCTAAGAAGCTGGAAGAGTTCTCCCTCCAAGTTTTTGAACTTTTGCTTGCCTGACTTGTGTGTGAACAGCGTGACAGAAATATGTGTACAGATATGCACTCATGTAGCTCACCTAATTTCACCTGGACGTTACAATCTTTTGTTCTTTTAATGCCTGTGACTTGAACAGTATCTGAACCTGCACAGTATTTCATACTAATTAGTAGCTCTGTCAGTGAGTGCAGTTTTAATTGCATACTTGCAGAGATGACCTTCATGACTGAAAACTTATTCTAGATGGCTGGAGGAGGAACTATTGCCTGATGTGTACTGTAAATAATCTCTCTAGAAGGAACTAATAGTCAGTATCCTAATAGCAGTGAGAGCTGCAGAATTTAGAGATAGGAAAAGCTTCTCTAAATTTGTAGTTCATGTGTAAACTATGGTAAATTTCCAAGGCTGTGTTTTATACCACACAGTCTTATGAAAATGTCTTGACTGCTTGTAAATGTACCAATCAATCAGTCTAGCCTAAGGAATATGCTTTGCAATCCATAGATCTCTTTTCTTCCTGTCTCATAGATGCTTTTCCTGCCATTTGCTGCCTCTTAAATTAGCAGCTCCCTTATACATGTGTTCTGTTTTAAACTATGATTTAGAATGAAAAGAGGAGAAAGGAAGGAAGGATGGGCATATTAGTACTGGCTGCAATCTTCAATAGAGATTAGCAGCCTAATGTGAGATTCTCAGTCTCAGACAGTTCTGTGACTTAAAATGGGACAAGTGTACGGCCACATTGGTTTCCCCATTCTTAGTGTTTTCCTATAGTCTGCAGTTTCACTATAGTCTGCGGTTCTCCTCACTTCTTTGTATGCATCCCTAATACCACCCTGTGTTTGAGCACTGACTGTGAACTTTTGTGTGTGGGAGATGCCACATACCACCACCCTGCTATCCCTTTGTCATTGCTACCTAAAATACTAGTATTTTACCCTTTTTAATCTTTTACTCTGCTGCCACTTCTGTTCTTCTGGCAATAAAGAGTTTATTGTCAAATCAAAGAAATGTGTGAATAGTTTATTTTTTAAAAAAAACAAACCTTCTTCTGGTGTCATGCTTCATTATGTTTCTAACCTATCTGATACTATGGTTTCTTTATTCTAATTGATTCTTTTCCCTGCACACTAACTGCATTATTCTTTCTGCTCCCCACCACAATGCCCAATGAATATGTACTTGGACTTCTAGCCCAGCTCCTGAGAAGGCAGCTGAGTCTCCAGTGTGTTCACCCCTTTGCTGGCTCATGTCTTTCCTAGGTCCAGGAGTCTTTACAGGGCATGGGAAGCAGTGCTGACAGTTGTGACAGTGAGACAACCGTGACGTCGCATAGTGAGGAACAGAAGACACCGATAGCCAAGGAACTGCCCTGTTTCAATAAGTTTGAGGAGGAGGAAGAAGATGGTGATGAGGATGATGATGAAGAGGATATTATCTCTCAGGTAGAGAGAAGAAAGGTAGGGTCAACTTTTGAGAACAGAAGGAGTGAAGATAGGAAAATTATTGACTATGAAACTGAACAAAATCAAGGAGGAGAAAGCAAGGCATCTCATATGTTAGAGACAGTCCAAGGAGAGGTAAGCTCTAAAGAGGAAGACGTTTCCGGTGAGCAAAAAGAATTGGACCTGTTGGAGGAAGGCAATGTCTTTGAGTTTCCTCAGTACCACACGCACCATATCCTCAAGTCAGTGGAGTCTCTGGACCGTGGTGGCTCCTCCGCATCATCCGTGGACAGGGTTCATGTTGCTTTGCAAAGAGCCGAGATGAGGATCGTCAGTACACCTGACTCCAGGGCTGGACGCACTCTGCTCAAGTCGAAAGACCTCCTGAGGAAGCAGAGACTCTGGTTTGCTGAATCGGGCTATCCTCTAAGGCGGTCTCAGTCTCTCCCAGCTGCATTGCTGAATCCAGTGAAAGTGGTGTCCTCTGTGAACGTCCAGTTAACTCCTGGAAAAGAGACTCGGTGTGGTCCTCCTTCTTTCACCTACAAGTACACACGTGTGGAGGAAGATGAGAAAGCGACATCTGAGAACGACAAAAGTGGGGACGAGGCAGCTGCCGGCCAGCCGGTGTGCAAATCCACACTGTTCATCGCACCTTCATCCTCCAAAAAAGAAGTGCCCCAGACTGGGCCCAACAGGCTGTCGGAGGAGCCCAGTCCCACCAGGGTACAGAGCTGCTCGCTGCACGTGCCGGCCCACATGTCCCAGTCGACATGCTCCCTCCACTCCCTCCCCACTGAGTGGCAGGACAGACCGCTCTGCGAGCATGTCAGGACACTGAGCACCCACAGCGTCCCCAGCATCTCCGGCTCTTCCTTCAGTGCCTTGCTTTCCCCCTTGAGCTGTCCCTTCTCTCCAAGGCATGCTGGATTTCCTCATCGACCTCATGCCATCAACCCACCTTCCACCCTGGAGATGCAACTGCTGACATCAGAAACTCTCTGCAGAACCTCTCACAGGTAAGACGATCTTGAATTTTGGCCCTGGGAAAAGGGACTGTGTATCATTAAAAAACCAAGATGTTAGTCTGCGTAGTGCAACAGATCAGAAAAAAATGACATATCATGCAAGTTTGATTTGCTATTGGTTTAGGAGCTTCTGTTTAAAGTGACAAATGATGATCTTTCATGCAGCATTTCACTATTTTTGCATTTATTTTTCTTGCTGCAGTTGACCCAGGTTATTTTTTTTTTCTTTGCCTCTATGGGTGTTCTTTGGTGGAAGAATAGTGTACTCTATCAGCTCTTACCGTTAGCTTTAGAACTGAAAGTATGTATTGAGAGTCCATTGACCTCTCTCTTTTCTTTGACATGCTTCCTCTCCAACTGAAAAAATTGTGTGTCTTATTGCACGTCACAATCACTAATGATGTTGGCGATGATCGATCTGTATACATTTCTGTACTGTTGCACTTATCACTGTGGAGCTAGTCGGTTTTGTCAGAGCATGTGAAATGTTGACTATCTTATCACTCTAAAGCCTTGAAGAAATGGTTTAAAATATAAGTGCTTTTTTTTTTTTTCCAGTGTCTGCCACACCTCCTGCTCTTTCTCTCCTGATTGCCACCTGTCCCTCCTCTGCCATCGCTCTTCTGCTATTCTCTTAGGTGGTGATCCAACTTAGGAGCCTGCAAGCTGCTGCAGGAGGCTGCATGGGCAGAGCAGTTGCATGCTCTGCCTGTTTATGTATGAACACACAAAGACTATTCAGTTGTAGAGTTTCAGCAGTTTCTGTGGGTTCTATGCAAGAACAAACTTGCACCTGCCCGCACCCTGTTGCAGGTGGTAGGCTGCGGTGGGCTTTTTTAGACCTCTTATTATGCTTTGTTTGTTTTGCAACTTGGCAGAAGTTAGAGGCTAGTGCAGCCTGACTTTGGTTATGTCAAGTGGCCCCACTTCTCCGAGCAAGCTTTAGTGCTGTGACCAGCTCTGCAGTGGAAAGCAGTGCTTTAAGTCACCCACTGTTCTAAGTAGTGGACAGCATGCCTGGGAGAAAGCACTTGCAGAATGTAACCTTTGTAAAATTCCCTTGTGGTTACCAATTGCAGCTTTGATTTGTGTGAGGGTACAGGGTGCTATAGTACTTTTACTGCATGTAGCATGCTAACTAAACCTACTGAAGAATAAATCTGTGTGTTGCATCCAGAACTCATGCTCGAGCTGGTTGAATTTTAAAAAAAAAGTATCAGAGAGGATAATAACATCTCCTAACCCACTTGCTCTGCTTCCAGCTTATTTTGATTAGACTAGTTCCATTTTGGGGGCTTGGTCCTCATTGCAGAGGTTTGTATAAAAATATTTTCCCTGGTGCTGCTTTTTCTTACAGCTAAGATCAAGTGTTCACACAGCATATTCAGAAAAAGTTGAGATGTTTCAAATACGTGATTTTGATTTTAGGAAGGAATAAAAAGGAGTAGATAAATTCCTGGTAGAACAGGGAACAGAGAAAACTGGGAGAGGAAAACCAAAATGTCGGTTTGATGTGATCATGTTTGAGCAAATCTCCTGTGGATGAATGGACATGCTTCAGATTTTCCATGGCATGTCAATAGTCCTTTGAATTCTTTCAAAATTATCTTGGACAAGCTGTCTTTTTCACGTTTGAAATGGTAAATGTTTTTGCTGTTTCTACTGTTCTTTATTGTGCCATGTCTGTACATGTATCAATGCCTCTGAATTTTATCTGTTTTTTCCATGTGTTGATTGAACACATAAATAAAAACTCTTCAGTGATCTGGTTTTCGTGAGAGACTATTAGCATGCACGGGTCTTTGAGTGTAGCAATGTGCTGCGGCTAAAAAACCAAGATCAACAAAAACCCCACAAACTAAGAACTGAGCAAAACCCCATGACAAATGTAACTGTAACCATGATTTGGAAATGGGACATAGTTTAATTTGTGTGGTTCTGGGATTGTATTTTCTATCAGTAGCTAAAACAATTGAGGATAAAATGCCCAGTGCAGAAGAATTTAGCTTTAGTTCCTACTTACTGTATCTGATGGGATTAATGTGGTGTTTCACCTGCAGCACATTTGCATTACAGAGCTGTGGTGTACGTGCTTCGGTTGAGAGTTTGCGCCGCCGTTCTGTAAGGTTTCCTTTTCCTGGTACAATGTTTACA